CTGCTGCATGTTGATACGGATAGGAGTGAACACTTTTTGGTCTCATGGCCCATTTATATTGTGCTAACATCACATTTGCTTTTTTTTATCCACTTAACCTGGCCAAGTAAGAATTCCCTCAGTGCTGTTACTGTGTCACTGATGTAATCTTGCGTGTATCATTTATTTTGTATTGTTTTGCTGGTGTTTATAAGAGTGTGGCACTTCTTACAACAGTGGAAAAATGCCAATACTATTTACTTTATTTTTAGGATAAAGATGGAAAACCAATATTGCCAAAGCCTGAAGAAAAACCTAAGGTTAGAAAACTGACAATGTTGTAGGAGTGTGAATAGCTACCCTGTTTCTCCTTCTCTGTCATCACTTCTCTCTGTGCCATTATGTAAGTCTTTTGGTCTGCTTGTGCGTTTATGTCCTTTCACAAAACCTGCTGATCTGAAGTGTCAAGTGAAAGTTAGTTTTATTGAAATTCACTGGCTGTGAATGAAGAGCTCACGGTAAGAAAAAGGTTTACAGATCACAAAGATAGGAGAGAGTTACAGAAATGACTGCTGACAGAAAGGAAAGCTATATGGGGAGTTACTGTAAGGTAGAAGCCTGTTGGAGCTGTTGAAGGACACAGAGGGGCAAGGCAGGAAAATCCTTTTGTCTTGACAGTTTTCTCTCATTAGTCATCAAATATAAAGGAATATGACTGAAAAGAAGGAAAAAGCTGCTATGGACATTCTCCTAATGCAAAAGAACAACTTGAACTTTGCAAAAAGTATCCATCGTGGTGTAGCAACTACAAGGTAGATTGAAAGAGAAAGTTAGAAAAGTTAATTGAAAATGCACGGGAAGCAAGCAAAAATAGGAAAAGCAAAGGAACTGTGCACTGAAGAAGCTGAGGGCTTCACTTCGGAAATACTGTGGGTTGAGGAGTGCTGCTGAAATTGGAAAAGTACACATAAACCTCCATTCTTCTGAAATGAGTGTGAAGGTCAGGACCAATCGGGGTGAGAATAACACTGTGCTTTTTTAGCAGAAATGGGAAGTAATTTCTGTTATTCAAGCTAGAAATCTGGAGGAATGCAAAGGCAGGATGAATAGACTTTACATCTCTAAAATCTTTGTGTCAGGTCCTAGATGTGCAATCGTATTGAGTGGGTGATGCATAAGAGCTGCACAGAAGGAATGCCTGCCAAGCATGTCATAAGGAAAAAAGAGCAGCTGTGCTCTGAGAGAACCACGCACTAATGCTAGAAGACAAGCCTTCCTGTTTCACAGGGAGCGCAACAGAGATGGCACACACAAAAAAGAAAAGCTCCAGAAGAGGAGCATGGCATGAGTTAAGGGTGGTTGGTTCATAGTTTGACTGAACTCCAGTAAAAAAACAAAGCAGAAAATGAGGTCAGAATTATGAGGCCTTATGCCAAAAGAGTTAAGTGCTTAGTATAAGAATAAGTATTCGTATGCTTTTCCACCCTCATCAATCAGACACACGGATAAAATTTAATAGTTGTTCTGTAAGTGAATCACAGGGCTATTGAAGTCATATGTTACAGTATTTTTCTCAGCACTACTTCACTGTTTATAATTTGAAGAAAGCGATATTGAGCAAGATGTGTTTGCCCATACTTCCTGTGGTATCATCAGTAATGTAGATCTGTGAAACCAAAACCAGCAAAACAAAAAAAATTATGTCAATAGCTGAAAAACCTTCAATTGCTTACCGTTCTTCCTTGATTTCTGATGAATACAAAGTTCTTCTTCCTTCATGAGTTCACCTAAGGCTTCTATTACTTTGGGCCTCCATTCTGCATACCTTTAAGCACATGCAGTGGCATTACTTTTGTGAAAATAAGTTGTTAGGCTTTTTTGATTTAGTGGTTGAAAGAGGAATTCAGTCACTATGGAAAGTGGTGTCGGCCTTACATGATGCAAAATTTTTGAAGACTTAGGGGCACTGATTGCTAAAGGAAGGCAAGTGGGAGGGAAAATAAGGGACTGTCCTTTAGAAATGTCATTTTATATGTTATGAATTTGACCAAATGAACCCTAACAAATTAAGTTCCACGTAGCAAGTGACTGGTGATCACTGCTAGCAAAGACTTGAACATTTAGGTGTAAACAGTAGTTTGAAGGATCCCAGGAACATTAGTTGTAGATCATGGAAGTACATAGATCACGTAGGATCAACAGATTGTAATGAATCACAGAGTAGGGAACTAAAATTGCAGTTTATTCACTTTTACCTAAAACGTGCTGAGTGTCGACCGTCAGTGCACAGCTAAGTGAACTTCCAGCTGACACTGCCTCTGAAGGAACTCTAGTTCTGCTGGAAGAAAAGAAAAAACCCCATAAAAATGGCAGAATCATAATCTGATAGTGCTGCTTTCCACTACCTATATGTAATTTTTACTTGAAGTATTATAACAACATGGTGCTATTACAGTAAATACTATCTGGTAAATATTAGCAATTTTTTTCTGATGAAGAGGTTGCATTTTCCTTTTCATTAGCCCTGTAAAAGTATTGAACATAATGTTCTGTACATTATATTGACTGTTGATAACAAAGCAACTGACTCATTCTGAAAAGTGGTTTTCATAATTTTATGTACTGCGAAATTCATGCTGTTTTGTTGCATGTAAATGTGAAAGGTTATTTTGGTGTAGGCTACAAGAAGTTTTTCTGCTTTCTGAAAAATTCAAATATAATTCTTGAAAAAATAAATTAAAAACAGGCAGTGAGTCACCCATACCACATACGTCTTTTTTTGCAGCCTTTGAGTGAATGTGATCTTGTTGATGAATTTTCAAAAGACTTCGCCTGCCCTGCACAGCCTGCAGTAGAATCCAAACCATCAAAGCCCAGCAGCACATCCAAAGTATGTCTTTCTAGTTCACTGAAGACACTGACACTGGTAGTTTTGCTAAGACTGGGTAATGCTACTATCAAGAAAAATACTTTCTTCTGTTTCTGTTTCCCCCCCCCCGCCCCGTTGCTTTCAGTGGAACATGCAGTATTGACATTTAGTCCTTAATTGAGGGGCTGCTACCTTTAAGCTGAGACTTTTCTTTCTTGTTTTGTATTGTATTAAAAAAAGGACACTTAACAGGTACATTTTGGGTTTCTGAGCATATTCAGTAAAATGCAATGTTATTGTTCTGTTTCAGAAGCCTTCAGATCCTGTGTCTGCAAAAACTACTGAGGATGAAGTAGTCCCTCGTGCCACAGCTTGCACTGTGCAATCTGCAGCTCCATCAGCTGTGTCTTCAGTGAGTAGTCTTAGCTGGAGCTAATGCAAAACTCACTGCTTCATTTATGCAATGGTATAGCGTATTGTCAAGATGTTTATTTCGGGATTGCATATTCTTCCTCCCTAGAGGTAAGCCACAAAGGCCGACTGTTTTCCAGAACAATTAAGTCAAGCACAAACTGAATAGGGAAAGTCAGTGACCTTCTTAATATAGGAAGTGAAACTGACAGTTCTTGTGGTCTATTCTAAAAGGGATGCTGTTTGTGAACTTAATAGATACTGAAGGAAAAGACAAACTCTACAAAAAAATCATAATTTTCCTACTAAGTATTTTGGAAGATTGCATTAAAGACTGACATTCTTGCATCTCTTCTCAGAATATATATGCTTCTATTAAAAAAGAAAAAAATTAACAGCCCCCCCATCCCCCCTCCCAAACATTTTAGCTGTAAGTCTTCAGAAAGGTGAAGCCTGTTTACAGAGCAAACCCTGTCAAAGTTTCGTTATGCCTTGAACTCAGCAGATCCCAAGTTTGTAAAGACAACTAAGGAGAGAAGCATTACAGTTTTTTAGTTTACTTCTCAATTTTTACCTTAAGTGATGTGTGGCTGGCGGTAGTAGCTGGCAATGGTAGTATATGTACAGGTTTCTTCAGGTGCAGCTGAGCTCCAAACTAAGAATTGTTTTTTACTATATCAATACCCTTACAGGTTGGTAACGTTGCAGATGAAGCACTGGAAGCCTTGTCCAGTAGCCTAGGAAAGAGGGAGCCTGACCCAGATGAAAAGAAACCTACTGTGGACAAAGTTAAGGTAGAGAAACAATCAGACCTTAAAAAATAGACTTTTGATGTAATTATCTTCGATGTTACTGTATTTCCTCAGGCTAGAAACAATTTAGAGATAATACTTGCAGGTTTTTTTAAAAACAAAATTTACTTGTGACACCATTTGTGTTTTGCTTAGGAAGTACTAGTGGGATTTCAACACAGTGATTACATTTTCTTAATCATTCTGCCTATTACAGTGCAGTAGTTCCCTAAGGCTTCTGAAAACTGCATTTGCTTAGTGTCTTACTGCTGAACCAAAGCAGAATTAGCATACATGTCAGAGGTGGCATACAGTGTGGTCCTTTTGCAAAAGGAACCAACTTTATGATGAGGTATTTAAATTAGGAATGATACATAACACTTTGGGTTTTTCACTGATCTTGTTATTTTAACAGGGAGCGTTAAGTAAGTCACTGAAATGTGTGTATTCTGTCTAAGGGAATGATGTTCATAGTCACAGTCTGAATGCCCCCATTTGCCTCCTCAAACCATGGGCCCCGTGGTATTGACTGGAGCCAAAAATAGAGGACAGCTCTTCTGGTGGGCTGGAACTCTTATCAAGCAGAAGTTTCCAAAGTTGGCTTTACTACCTTTTCTTAGTTGTCATCTTCCAAAATAACTTGCATGATGGGTAGTCCTTTTTGAAGTTGGCTACCAATTTCTCTGATCAGCGTTCCTTTGCATGCAGGCCAGGTAGCTGTTGAGTGGATTTAAAAAAAAAGTCAAGAATTAAGACTCAGAGGTATAATGCTATTTTGTTATTGGTCCATGCTTGTCTATTTACTTAACTGTTGATTTTCATTGAAATAGGTAGAGCTACTCCTGATACACACAGGAGGAAACAGGCAGAGAAGTGAAGGCTTTCTCAAGAGAAAAGGGTTTCTTCTAATTTGCATGAGATTTTTATCTGGTAGTTGGATTTAAAGACTAATTTGAATTAGTAGACTGGAGACTTTGAAAGCTTGCTCATATGCCTGTCTGTTGGGATGTAGTTACTTCCTTTTATTAATACTATTTTTATTTTGCCTTCATAGGAGAAAACCAAACAGGAAGAATGCAAAAAACTGGGTGAAGATGAAGAAACAATTCCTCCAGAGTACAGATTAACAGAAGCAAAAGTAATTTATTTCATGTGCTGTAGTCTTACTTTTGTTTCATTCCTCAGAATATATGGATGAAACTGAAACTCTTACTTAATTTTGAAATGTTGATGTTTAGTTCAGCCATTTTTATAGTATATAAAAATTGCAGTTTGTAGTTCCTGAATATCTGACATCTGTCATTAGATGCCTGTATAGGCACCCAAGTGGTTTAGATGCAAGTACCTACACATGAATAATTTTGGCTGAGATTAATGCACTGGAGTCTTTGATTAGCTTTTTGTGTTTTAGAACTTAATAAATTGTGTTTGGTCAAAGCTGTTAAAAAACCCAACGCTTCAAGCTGCTATTTTTATGAATATCACCACATGACTCATTTAACATATTGGGTTGCTTACATATAGCCAAGACTTGCACACCACCTGTCACAGCTGCTGGTGTGAAAAGATACAGCCTTTCTGGACTCTGCATCCAGGAGTATTGTCACCAATCTGGAAGTTGTGGTTTTATTTATTAATTGTGCTATTTCCATGGAAATAGCACAATTAAGTAGGGAGGCTCAGAATCCCACACACTGAATCACTTTTCAGCACTCAGAGGTTTCAAAGTTACAGGACCTGGATTTTTTAAATGACACTTTGAGTAACAGCAGTAGGTGCTAGAGGATACTACTTGGATCATTTTCTTGTGTAATGCTTTCCATGAATGCTTTCAGAGTATTTGTAATGGCATGGTTGTTTAAGGACTGCTTGGTTTATTGTAAGGGGCTTTTTTTTTTTTTTGTAGGATAAAGATGGAAAACCACTCTTACCAAAACTTGAAGAAAAGTCCCAGGTAAAAAATTGAATATTCATTCATTTCATTAATATTTCATTCATTAATTACTTACTCAAATGTGAGTAAGGTTTCTCAGTCTTCAGTTTAAAAATGGGGATAGGCTGTGTTACCTGTTCACTTTTTAATAGAAGAAAAGTTTTAAAAGCCTCTCTTTTTTTTTTTTCAATGATAGCCTATGAGTGAAAATGATCTTTTAGAGGGTTTGACAGAAGGATTTTCCTGTTCTCCATCTCCATCTGCACCATTACCTAAGCCAACTGTAATAAAGGTGAGTAAATTTGATATAGAAGAGAGAGCAGGACTTCAATAATTAGCAACAACTAGATAATTTAGTTGTCATATCTTTTTACCAGTTGCTTGCATAAGTAATGCTTTGCAGTTGGGACTTTTAAAAATGTTACTTAGGAATATAAATGGAGTTGAGGAAATCTTAGCTCCTCTGAAGTAACATAAACCCTGCCTCTCACTTAAGCTGTGCCAGGGTTTAACCTAGTAGTTGAAATGGAAGATTGAACTTGAGCAAACTGAGATGCAAACCAGTTGCAAAATGCTTCTCAGGAAGGGAAGTCTGAAATAATTAGAGCTTCTAAGAAAAATAAAGTCCTAGAAATAAACCATATAGGCATTTGAATTTAGATGCGTGGAATTCAATGCATATTTTTCTCTTAGGCCTCTATGTTAGTAATGATGCTGTGTCTTGTTTCAGAAAACCAGGGAGGATAAAAAGCCTGCAGATTCCTCAGATGTTATCTCTGCTGCTACAGTTTCTTCAGTGCACTCAGCAGCTCCACTCTCTTCTACCTCAGTAAGCAACCTCTCCTGTAGATCCTCATCTAGTATCTACCTTTCTTTATGGAGCGTGTGGTCAAACACTGGAACAGGCTTCCTAGAGAGGTGGTCAGTGCCCCAAGCCTGTCAGTGTTTAAGAGGCATTTGTACAATGCCCTTAATGATATGCTTTAACTTTTGGTCAGCCCTGCACTGGTCAGGCAGTTGGACTAGATGATTGTTGCGGGTCCCTTCCAGCCGAACTATTATTCAATTTGATTCGATTCAATTCTATCTCAAACTAAGAACTGACTAATGGAGAGAGATGGCAGCATGATCTGGCCCGTTTTACCAGTATAGACTTTTGCAAAGTTAAATAATTTATTGCCATGGAAGGTAAAAAAAAATGTTCCCTCTGGGGGGTAAAAAAAAAAGTGTGAGTTTCTGGACACGTTGTGTCTGGTCTGCCTGTTTTGTCGAGTTCCATTCACTGTTGTATTTCAGCCTGCCTTTGAAACCTCCCCACCTGCACTTCGAAAAGGAAGTGCCTAGTCCTGTGCTGATTCCTCCAGAGTTACTGAGGACATCAGAGGATGTGTGTATTTCCTTTCTGTGGGGCAATGCAGGTAGTTACCTTTGTGCAAATGGGTTCATTTTTATTCTTGGGCTGTTAACCGAACCATACCTTTCTTTACCTGGTTAGGTAATGAGAACATTTAAAATAATGATAGTGTAGTCATTGCAGTGGCAATATCATCTGTTAAGCCTATAAAAGGAGGAGTTCAAGGTTAATGGAGGGACAGCGAGTGCCAAGACGAGGAGAACTTCCCTTCGTTGCATTTAGTGGTAATGTTGCACGCTGCCGCCTTTCTCCATTCTGATACGTGGAGTGGGAGCTCCCTCTAGTGTTTCCAGCCAAATTTTAACGTGGAATATAAAGCTCCTCCCCCTTGGGTTTTAGTTGGTCTTGAGGGCTTTTTTTCTAACCAGCGTTTGAGTAAAACTGGTGTGAATTACCAAAAGACCATATATATTGTAAAGATAAAATGTTAATAAGTTTTAATTCAGATTGACACTTCCCTAGAAGCTAATCTGCAGTGCTAATGGTGTTTGCAAACTGAATGGCAATTACCAAAACACAATATTTTCAAAGAACTGTTCTCATTAGATCAGTTAGGCTTATGTGTAACAAAGGCCATCAAAATAACTTCCATTACCCCTCTTGAAATGACGTTTTCTGTAAGACTAAATATTCTGTAATTGTTTTCCCCAGCTATTGCACTACATTGTAATTACAAAGGGAGACATGGTTGTTCATTGTTCACTGAAGTTGACAGTTTATTAGTCAGTACTTATATTAGCTGGATTAATTAAATTATTTTTACAGCTGATTTGCATTCATGAGTGTGTTTATGCTTTGTTAGGGAGGAAAAGAGATGGATGAAGCCTTGGATCTCCTGTCTGATTCCCTGGGACAGAGAGAACCTGACCCTGATGAGAACAAACCAGTTGTGGATAAAGTAAAGGTAAAAAAAAACATTCTGAAAATTATGCAGTCTGGGCAACAAATAAACAAACAAAAAAACCCCTGAGATACTTACCTGGTTTCTTAATTTTTTTTTTTTTAATGGTATACTGTAATATTTCTTACATACTCATAGGAGTACATGGCATGTGATTTTCAGATGTAGGAGCAAGGTTACTAGAAAAAACCAACATACTCTTATGTTGTCCTATATGTAGGTATATCAACCACTTCACTGTTTTTTTGCCTCTAAGCATGCAGTTTTCAATCAGCTGGATTACTTGTGTTTTTTGTGAAAAACGTTGAATTAGTTAATATACTTCAGCCGCTTGGAGGTGAGTGTTGAAATATTACAGGAAATTTGCCATAATTTGATTTCAGTGCCTTCTGTTATTCTAATTATTTTTCAGGTGTCTTCTCTGGCCTCCATTTCTCACATTAATTTTGTGACCCTCTTTTTGTCAAACTTTGACTTTTACAACCCCAGAAATACCAAGGTCATCAACGGACACATTCATTTCATCAGTCATATTTTTTAACTTGCTTGTTTCATTCAGTCTTCATTCATTGCTTCATTCAGTCTTTCTTCATATAATTCTATAAAGACCTTCCTGCTAATAAGAAAATCAGATGCATTTCTGCATATTAGTAGTAGTAATAGTAAATTGTAAACTGAAATACTTAAGGTAAAGAAAATTACTGAGGGAAAAAAGCAACATAAGCTCCCATGAATAAATTTAGGCTGCAATCTAGAAGGGGCTTTCTTATCTTAAGACTAGGCTCCACGGCGTTAGGAGCAGGTTTGTACAGTCTGGGTAGCGTTGTCCCTTGCCATAGGAAGGGGTGAACACTTGATGTGCAAGATCTCAGCAAATCCTGTGCTTCAGCAGACCTGTAGGAGGCCGGCTTTCTTCATGTGTTGTTCTTTACAAAGGCATGGAAAATGCTTATATTAAAAAAAAATTATAAAGAAGAGATCCTTAAAATGTCTGCATTAACAAATACAAAAACATTATTCAACAATATGCTAAAAAAACCTCCTTGTATCTAAACCAGGTGTTTTGTATGGCATGTTTCTGATACGTTTGCCTGAAATGAAAGCAGCATAAATTGAAAAATAAATGTAGTGGAAGGAACGCTTCCCTCCTTGATGCAGTTTTCAGGAGCTTGTGGCGCTCTGCCTTCTAGCTGTGTTGGGTTTGAAACTGACTCTGGCACCTAAGTCTGATGAGGAGTGTAGGCCACTCTTGATCAGTTTGGGTGTGAGCTGGGTAGGTGCCCTGGATTCTGCTACAGGTGCTCAGATGCATTCACAGGTAAGACATTGCAGGAACATCAGTTTTGTGTTAAAGCTATAGTGCATGGATGAGATTCGATGCGTAAGTATGGAATGACTTCTTTCAGTCGTATTGTTGAAAAGCAGAACTGAAAGTTGACTTTTTTTTTTATGTTGGGGTGGTGCTATGTATATACATGTTTAACTTATTAAATATGTACGCTTATTGAGAGCTAGTAGTTTTAAAACTTTTAGGCATGAAACACACTTCATAGCGAAATAAAATACAGGGGTTTTTTGGTAGTTTTAAAATTCTAAATTAAAAAAGGCATCTGTCCTAAGTTTAATGAGCACTCTGGTTTACTGTTTGTTACTATCTCTAACTTAAGTATCAAAGTTGTTAAAAAATTAAATGCTTTCAGGAAAAGGCTAAATCTGAACACAGAGACAAACTTGGAGAAAGAGACGATACTATCCCACCTGACTACCGAAAACTTCTGGAGTCAGATGAGCAGGTAAGGAAAAGCTTTATTAGTTTTTATTTGCAACATCAGAAATTTTATGCATATGAGCAAGTCTGGCCTCTTTGGAACTACAAGGAGAACAGGAACACTGAATAAATGAGTATGTGTGTGTACTGTATTTATGTTTTAGGGTTAAACATGTAAGTATCCTATACTTATATATACATATAATCCAGAAAACCAGGTGAAAAAATAGGGTGTCTCCCTTTAAACAGCTTGGCTTTATAGTCTGCTTTTAAACAGGAGATATTTGCAAATGGTGGGTAATAATTTTTATTCATTCCAAGTAGTTTCATTCCAAATTTGGGCACAAAGTGCATGTATGGGTATTACCTTTGTGGTATACCTAAAGCACTGTAAAACTGTCATCCACTGGAGCACATGACTGCTAACAGTGATATGATCTTTTGTGGCTCAGGAAACTGTTTTTCCAGTAGACTACAAGGGTAGAAATACGTTATTGCAGACATGGTCAAAGAAACAGACCATGAAAACACATAATGAACTGACTTTGAGTACATAGCATGAGAAATAAAGAAATCTGTTTAGAATGGTGTGACTTTCTTGGTAAACTCCCAATGTCATTCCTAAGTAGCTGTATCTTAAAACTAATCTGACCAGTTCAAAATGAAGATGTAATCTTTCTTCTTCCCAAGGGTAAACCAGTAAAGCCAACAGCAAAGGATGATGTGAAACACAAAGAGCAAAAGGTAACATTTATGGTAGTTTTCTTCTGTGTTTGTTTCATGCTGTGTGCTCTGATCTTTTTTTTTCAAAGTAGTGTCATTGTAGATCAAGGCATGATTCATTACAGGTTCTCATAAATGCTAGTGAATGCAGTAGATAATAACAAGTGTGGACAGTAAAACTTGTGAAGAATAACTCTTCATAATAAATACAGTTTTTATGCAACTACACTGTGAATGTTCAGGTCCAGTATTCAAAGAAATTGTGTATCTTGAAAACCTCAAATAGACATCTCTGTTCAAATATACGTCTAGAGCTCAGGTATGTTTTTTTTAAGAAAGGGCTAATTAAAGCAGACATAAATTCCTGAAATACTAATTTGTCTGTGGGAAGTATTGCATATTGTGTGACTTCAGAATTAAAATTATTGCAGAAGTCTACGGATGAGTCTGCAGCTATTGATGCCCTATCAGGTGACTTTGATACTTGTGCAAAGGCTCCTGCCACACCACAGCACTCAAAGGTAGGACATTTTCTGCTAATAACTTGCAAAATAAATAGTTTTTCACTACTCTCTGAAAGTTCCTCACTTTTCAGTAGCTCAGTTTCAGCTTAGACCTAGGCGCTTTGAAAGATGCTGTCCAGACGTAGTGATTGCTCTACTACTGTAATGGAACTTTGATGTGTCTTGCTGTGTATTAAATATTTGGAAGAAGGAAGATTTGTGGTATTCAGGGTCTTCTAGAGAGCTAAGACAGGCTTGGCAAAGTAAGTTGAGCAGAGAATTGTGGTAACAGTTTTTGTACAGATTAGAGTGTCCAAAAAATGTAGAGAGGCAGGGAAATCTTTCTTCAATGACTGCATGCACTACTAGGCTGGAACTGAGAAACAGTTCAAGAGGGTTTTGCAGAGACAGATGCTAGGAGTAGAAAAGAGTTGTAGATCTGTTAGGGAAAATATTAGAGCTGACGAGACATGAAGGAGGAGGGGACAGGAGAGGTCTTGTAATGAGAAATAGAGCATTTATTTGTCACATAATCAACTTAAACACAGCTGACAAACAGCTGTCAGACTTTTCCCAGCAAAGTGCCAGACATGCGAGTCTATATGAATGAACTAGCAATGGAAGCTGCATAAATCTGGAGGTCACCACCATGAGGATGGTGTTTGAGAGAGGATGGTTGTGCTGGAAAAGTGTGAAGAAGGAGACTGAGATTTTGTCCACATGCCAGATGTGCTTTCTGCTTGCTCTTAACCTGGTGTTTGTTACCTTGAGCTTGGACAGACAGAGAGGACTTGTATGGCTTTGAGACATCCACTGTGCCACTACAGTGGCAATATATGCTTCCTTGGCAGAGGAGCCCAAGGGGAATCTGGGGCAGCTGGTGGGATATCAGTGCAAAAACCCTGGACTCCTTTTGTTTTCTACAGTGCTCAAACTGGTTAAGAACCAGTAACTCCCTCTTGTTACCTGCTTGCTCTCCTATCCTGTGTGTGACATGTCCTGCCCTGTGCTCTGGTCCCTCATCTGCAGACAGAGGGAATGGTACATGCTTTTTGAATGGTCAATATTTTTTGTACTCAACTGGTTAAAGCAGGTGCCATTGTCTCTCATCTGCTATGGACTCCTGGCAGCCCATCCCTGCCTTTTTCCTGTGGTAGTGACCTGCCTGCTTCCTGCAAGGAGAAAGAAAAAACAGCTTGAATTTACTACATCTTTCATCTTTGACCAAACCAGTATATTAGCAGTCAAAATTAAACCCCTTGGACGGACACAGCTGTGTAAGCATAACCAGTTCCCAAGTGACATTCTGCATTAGCTTCCTTAAGCTTAATACTACAAGGCACCCAGTTACCAAGAATGAATTATGTTTGTCCATACTTAAAATGGTGATTATTATTATCTGTGCTTTTATGCTGTGTTTGTTCTGGTCCTGGGGGGCAGAGAAGAAGCAGCTTTGAAACTGAAGTTCAAATCAGATGTAATTCCTGCGAGGAAATAGCTGTGTTTCCAAATAGCTCTTCTGACCACTGCAGTGCTTCCCCAAGCGCTTACCTTGATACCGAATCCTCAGGTGGTTTAAGACAAACTATTGGTGTTTCAAGTGCTGTTCTATTTGATTATGAACTTCGGAGCTAAGTCTGCTGCTGCAACATTATTGCTTTGTAGTAAGTACGAAATCTGCCCATATATGCCAACTTTTTTGTCTGCGTATGCTTTCTGGTGCCCTAGTCTCCCTAAGTATTAAACAAAGCTCCAGATTCCAGCTTGCTGTGGACTAAGGGCAGTAATTACATGCATGTGTCCTGCATTGAGCACTCTCCCACCACATAGAAAATAATGTGTTATGGCAGATGTCAAATTAGGAGCCATCAGTTCTCTATTCTGTTTGTAACTGTAACTCTTTTTTTTTCTTTGGAGTGTAGGACAAAAGTGGAAAGGAAACCATCACCACTAAACCAACCCCAAAGGATAAAGGAAAACCCAAAGACCCTAAAACGGTAGAAACATACATATTATAATATGGACAGTCATGGTTACTATACACTATAAACACGAAAGACGGGTGTCATGGTTTAGCCAGCAATTAAGCACCACGCAGCTGCTCACTCACTCTGCCACCCCTGCCTCCAGTGGGGAGGGGGAGAGAATTGGGAAAAACTCATGGGTTGAGATAAAAACAGTTTAATAGGACAGCAAGAGAGAAGGAAACAACGATGATGATGATGATGATGATAATGATACTGACAAAGGAATGTACAAGAACCAGTGATGTCCAGTACAGCAATTGCTTACCATCCAGTGATTGACAGCCCAATCGAACAGCGATTCTGGCCCCCCAGCTAACTCCAGTTTATGTACTGGGCATGACATTATATCGTAGGGAATATCTCTTTGGCCAGTCCAGGTCAGCTGTCCTGGCCGTGCCCCCTCCCAACTTCTGCACGTCCTCACAGGCAGAGCATGAGAATCTCAAAAGTCCCTGACTTAGTATAACCACTACAACTAAAACTTCAGTGTGTTATCAACATTATTCTCATACCAACTCCAAAGCACAGCACTGTACCAGCTATTGGGAAGAAAAATCTACTCCATCCCAGCTGAAACCAGGACAATGGGCAACTGATTTGGGGTTCATATTACATGGATATTACTTTGGGGAGAATTTTACATTTACCCAATTCAATAGGTTGAACTGGATTCATTTTTGTAAGCATGTACATAGGAGAAAAGCACATGTCTATTTCAATGGAAATTTTCAATAAATGGGGTCTAAAATATTTAAGAGAGTATGGTCTTCTGCAGGGGTTCAGTGCATGCTCCACAGGCTCCTTATTGCCATAGCTGCTGATCAGAGAGTCAAACTTCACATGCCTGTGGCTGCCTTGAAATTCTCATCGCTTCTCTCTTTTATTGATAGTTTTAAATAACAGCATTCTAAAAGTGATTAGAATGTACTCCTTCAGTTATTATCATAATTTACTTTTAAAAAAAAAGAATGACAACCTACATATATTCATAAATAAGTATGTAGAATGTATATGCTGGGAAAAGGAAGGTAGTTGTTTCTACATTTAAAAAAAAAAATTTAGATCCCCGTTGCTTGACTTTTGTCATCCAGAAATACAGAAAATGGGTTTAGGTGAGGGTGAAACTTTTCCCATCACGTTGTTCTGTCACAGGATACATGCAGGTAGATGGCTGAATCAGATGGTGACATCTGCTCTGGAAACTTCATGTTTCATATTTCAAGTTGTGGGATTTTTCTTCATTATGGAATTGTCACACATGCCTTTTGTATAACAAGAGAACTGTCTTACAATTTTCAATGTAAAATTGGAGGGTGTGACTTTAGTGCTTCTTCAGAAGGATGTATTTTTTAATGTTCTGAGTTTTGACTGGATCACTAACATGGGCAAAAGGATGTTGAGAAATAGGATATGAAGAGGCTGTCTTTATCTGAAACAAAATAAGTCATGGTGGAAAAAGGAAAATATGTATATACCAACAGAATTTCTAAATACTGTTGCTAAACTTTGTGTATTTCAAGTGCAGATCCTATTTACAGCTGAACGATGACTTCTGATGAGTATCTGTCACTGTTTTATTTCAGATTTTAGCTTAGTTCACAGTTTCTTACTATCTCATGCTTCTCTTGCTCTTTAGGCAAAGGGACAGTCCTCCAGCAGCAAATCTGAGAAGCAGAAAACAAGCTAAACGTTAACATCATTCGGTGAGATTTCTTTCTCTATACTCTGAACTACCACAAGAACAACTGATGCTAGTGTTATTGAAGTTACATTTTGTTGGCAGTGTTTTAACTGACATGGTTAGAGATGCTGTTAGACACAACACTTGGAATGACTTCGAACTTCGGAGTTCCTAGGTAGGGAAGGCCTTATTTTTTTTTTTTTTCACATCCTTTGTCTGTACAGTTTGTGCAGAATTACTTCATGTAAACCTAAATTCCCTTAGGTTTGTGTAACTGAGGATTCCAAGGCATGACATACTGTTGCCCTCGTAAGACCTTTTTACCAAGTAATGAAGATCAAGCAGATCTCAAGTCACTGTTTTTATCTTTAGAACAGTGAGTTTATGTCCTTATTTCTGCACTAGGCCAATTTTGGAACAGTGTCCAGAACAGATACAAAAAGCCCCACAGCTAAGCTGGCAGGTATAGGAGGTTTCAGAGTTCTGCTCTCAGCTTTCCTGGTGCAAATACAGCCTCGTTCCACGCACATGTTCCACTGCTACCGTGCCCTTCTTTGTACTTAGCTTGATCACACCTTTGACATAAGAGTAAGGAATTGGAGTCTTTTAGCATCATCATTAGTTCATGGAAGTATTCACATAAGTACACTCCGGGGGTGTAGAGGGGAGAGGCAAGGGCACATCCAGTGCTGGGCTCTGTCCACTCGCATGCCAGCCAGGAGGGTCTGTGTTCTGGCTTTCTGAAGAAGCTGTGGAGGAGCCTCTGTCCTGTGACAGCAGAGGCAGCCCTGGCTCCTCGGAGAGTATGAGTAATTATATGCAGCAAAATCCTGTGTAAAGGTTTGGCAACCGACTTCAAATGGGCAAGACAAAGATGCATCGTTACTGCGTATCTGGAGTGGACTGCTACTCTTGCTGCAGTGCCACTTTCAAACAATACCCCATCTCTTGTGATACTAAGCGTTCCTGAATTTCTTTCTGTCACAAGAGACTTACGTTTCCCATAATCCTTCCCAGGTTAGTTTGTGAAATTTTTTTCCAAGTTAAGGAAGATAAGCACTCTTAACGTTTTTTTCTTTTTCTTCCTCCCAGGATCTTGGCGCATCATGTAAAACATCTTTCTGTTGGAGGATAATTATCTCTGAAGAACAAAAGCTGATGCAAAAAGCATGTGGTTATTCTGGGTGGTTTTTTATATGGTGATACTTGCTGGACTTTTTTCATATTTTCTTTTTTCACAGCAGTAGACTAAGGTGGCTTGTGGTTTTTTTCCCCTAGATACTCATTTTATTATACTCCTATATTTTGACTTTTTTGTAATTTTCTTGTTTTCAGAGGGAAAGAATGCTTTATATTTGCAAGAAATATATTTCATAAATGAATAGCAATGCCAAAAAAAATATCTGCAGACTTTTGCACATAATCTCCACATAGTGCCTGTAAATCTCGGAAGAATTTGTATGTGCTAGCATTTTTAACATTGCAGTGAATGCATTAAGTGTTCTGGAATATAATGAGCTTTAGTTATCCTCAGCCCACCTCAGCCTGGCTGTGCAGTCTTTCCTCAAGCCAGTTCCTGGTAGGAAACTGTAGGTAAGCTGTGGGTAACTAAAGAATGAGAAACTGGGGATTAACCGCTTCATCAAGCGCATCTAGTAATAAAACAGGTATTTTTGTAGTTAAAACAACAAAAACACACCAGATAAGGATTTTAGTGTTTTGGGTTTTTTTTCCAATCGTATCTGTACTGTTATCTCGTAATTTCAGGAGTCTCCTGGACTGAACAAATACAAATCCTGGTGTAACAATGACACCGTTACCATCACAGAAGAAGAAATAAGGAAGGTACATGAGCCTTAGCAGGGATCAAAGAGAAGTTCAGGTCAACAGGTGGACTTTTTTTTTTTTTAAATTTTGCACTGTTTCTGGTCCTTGCTTCTGTTCCTTGCACTCCCGAAAGGAATGCACAAATAGGGCAGAAGTTAATGCTGTAAGGAACAATGTCATATTCAGCTGCTCTGCAAGAGGCACAGGTAGGCACCTCTCCTAAGTCTGCTGCAGACAGGGCTGTCGTGACTGAGGTGTGCCAAGTGCCTCTGTGTGTTTTCCTGTGTCTTCAGAACCTGCAGAACATCTTTTTGCACATCCTTAAACATGTACTGCTTCACCATTAGCTTGCAGAGGAGAGCCATACTGACAGTTGTACCGATATCAAAGTAAGTCAGACTCTAGTATGTAGCCTTGCAGACAGAGACAGCCCGGAGATTTAAGTTGGGGATATTTAGACTTCTGACTGTACTTCACAGTCTGTACTGAGAACCTGTGTCACACTAATAAAGTTTTTAAGAATGCATTTTGATGTTCATAACTTTTCATTTATTGCTGCTGTTATCTGAATAGCTATTGAAAGACAAAAGAAACCCTAGAAATAATTTTAAAAAACAAACACTGGAACGTTAAAAATTAATACAATGTGTTTAAAAAAAACCCTGTAAAATACTTCTCAGGGATGCTTCATGAAAGCCCTCACAATCTGATCAAGATCCAGCTACAGCTTTTTCCCCTTTCTTTTGGTTTTCAAAGCTCTATCAACTAGGACAAAATTTAACTTGCGAACT